AAGAAAGAAAGAAAGAAAGAAAGAAAGAAAGAAAGAAAGAAAGAAAGGAGGGAGGAAAGAAAGAAAGAGAGAGGGAAGAAGGAAGGAAGAAAGGAAGGAAGAAAGAGGGAGGAAGGGAAGAAAGAAAGGAGGGAGGGAGGGGGAGGAAGGAAAGAAAGGAAAGGAAGGAAGGAAAGAGGGAGGGAGGAAGGAAAGAAATAAAGGAAGGAAAAAAGAAAGAAAGTAAGAAAGGAGGGAGGAAAGAAAGAAAGAGGGAGGGAAGAAGGAAAGAAAGAGGAAAGGAAGGAAGGAAGGAAGGAAGGAATGAAGGAAGAAAGAAAGAAAGAAAGAAAGAAAGAAAGAAAGAAAGAAAGAAAGAAAGAAAGAAAGAAAGAAAGAAAGAAAGAAAGAAAGAAAGGATTTCCTGACAGAACAAAGCGGAACAGCTTGCCCGGTCCAGGAGTTGTGGGTGCTCCATCATTGGAGGTTTTTAAGAAGAGATTGCTCGTGCACGAAGCTGGACTGGTTTCAAATAGGCCGCAGCCTGGTAGCGGGCCGGGGCCCTTTGGGTGGAGGACCCCTGCTCTACCAACCAGGAAATGAGAGCCACCATCTTAGTTTCCTGCTTCCTCCCCTCCTCACTCCAATGCAAGACCCACCATTAGCACCGAATGGTGAAGGCATCTTACTAAAGGCCACTGGCGTCCTTACGTATCGGCCATGGCCTGAAGGAAGAGACGGATGCTGGACCATGGAGGTGTGACTCTCTCCTCAATCTGCTCAGGTAGTCTTGAGGTCACCCCCATATTAGGTACTCATTATTTGGTAATTACCTCCACAAACCCAGCCCCTCAGTTCCCCATTTCCCCTGACCACAGATCTTCGGAGGGGACCCTTGGTGCTCTCTGCGCTTGGTTGTTTTTCTTGCAGACATTTCCTGACCCCCCAAGTAGGTAGTCACTAGCACTGATGATGTTACCTAGTTTGGTAATGAAACGTCTGCAAGAAAACATCCAAGCTCAGAGAGCACCAAGGACCCCACAGTCCTCTTCCTCCTCCTCTCATTCTCCTCCTCCTCCACAAACTCCTTCCTTCTCGCCCTGATGGCATTATCTAGTTGGATAATGAAATGTCTCCCAAGAAAATATGGAAGCTCAGAAAGCACCAAGTTCTCCCACAGTCCTCCTCCTCCTCCCATTTTCCTTTTCCACAAACCCCGTTCCCTTCTAGCCCTGATGACATTACCTAGTTGGGTAACGAAACGACTGCAAGAAAACAAACCCTAACCCACCACTCATGCTACTTGAGCCGTGTGCGCATGCACACATATTCCGGCCAGCCAAACGCCCAATTCTGAATAGGCCCCAGCCCGATAGCGGGCTGTGGCCCTGGGGTTGGGGGACCCCTGATCTACAAGACTGGAAGTTTCCATCAAAACGATGACAGCAGCGTCACACTGCTGAACACACCTTTTGTGCAGGCATGCAATGTCACAAGGCATGCTCAGAAGGCGTGCATCAGGCGCATCCTGGGACTGCTTTTCAAATCTTGCTTCCCTTGCATATATGCCCATCCCATAATAGATCGCTGCCTGTAAATATGCTGTCAAATATGCGGTCAGCAACGTTGGATAATGGCTCTCCATTAAGTGTAATCAATCCAAAACGGTCTTCCAGACACAACCTATCATTATAAGCACGGTACTTAAGAGCTAAATTTACTATTATGGCTCTTGACCAATAACCTTAAAGACAATGCATTTTAATAAAGGCAGATTTCGACCATTCATTGCCAAGTGATAACGTTTCTTTTGATAAATACAGGGAGCAGGAGACGTGAATTTCACTAGTCCTACTTACTTCTGTTTTTTATCAATTTCCATCCGTTGCTTCTTGTCCTACCTTCAGGGGCTCTGGAAAAAACAAGCTGACCCCCTTTGTGGCAGCCCCTTAGATATTGGAATATTATAAATATACAGATATATCTATAACTGTTGACTGGAAATCAATTAGTTATTTACCTAGAGACTCCATAACCTAAAAGCTCATCTGATGTGAAGGATGTTGGCAGCTGAAGGAGTGATTCACAGTGAGTTTACTTACGCACATCATACTCTACAAAGAATAATTTCATACTTGGATATCCAAGGCACCAAAATGTGACTTACCACAGTATTTGAGGAGTTATAATCTTCTGCAGATTTATCTAGAAGAAAAACGGAATCACGTCAGATAATTAGGCGTGTCATCTCGTTAACGCCAGAGGCCCACTCAAATCAAACTAGCAAAAAAGGGACGCGCTGGAATTGAAATTTAATCGTTCAGGTGCACACCTAAGTTTTGGGCTCCAGAGGCTTTTGCATTTACCTGACCTCCAAAATGGACCACATGGAGACTCCAGGGAGGGGGAGGGGCGGAGTGGACGGAGCCAGCCAGGAGCAGGATTTACCAGTTTGCCAAACCGGCCATAAAATTAGCTACCGGGTGAACCGGTAACAGGCCACCCCTGGTCTTAAGTCATGCGGTGAATGATCAATCTGCATCTAAGATACTGTCTTTTAAATAGCCAGTGTTTTTATTCAGGTATTTTGAATTCAGACCTTCAGACTTCTAGTTTTGTTGTTGATCAGTTGTCCCAAACATCACATCAGTTCTCAAAGATGCTCTAATTTCTAGAATGATGACTGTGTTAGCTACAGTACAGCAAAGAGCAACAAGTTTTATTTTGGGATTAGATCTCATGAAAGTACTTCTCTGCACCAGATGGAGGATGGATCATTGTGAATGAGAGTGGGAGGAATGATAAAAGTTAGATAACACCAAAATTAAACACAAGACGCCAGAGACAACGATAATTAGAGATAGTCCTCCAGCTACAATCGCAATAGAGCCCAAAATTTCTGTTGCTAATCGAGACAGTTGTTAAGTGAGATTTCCCCCCATTTTACGACCTTCCTCGCCAGAGTTGTTGTGAAGTTTGCAGTTGTTAAGTTAATAACTTGGTTATTAAGTGAATCTGGCTTCGCCAATGACTTTGCTTGTCAGAAGGTCGCAAAAGGGGACACCAAAACCGTCATAAATATGAGCCGGTGGCCAAGCATCCAAATTTTGATCATGGGAGCACGGAGCACATTTCCATAAGTGTGAAAAAATGGTCATAACTCTCTCTTTTTTTTCAGGGCCGTTCTAATTTTGGTCGGTCACGAAACGAACCGTCGTAAGTCAAGGACTGCCTGAATTTATTCTTTAGCTGATTGGCCAAGGTCAACACAACTTTCTCTGGCGTTCTCAAAACATGTGAAGCCTACCAAGGCCCACCTAATCTATCAAGGCCCACCTAATCGTTTCCACAAGAACAGCCTTCCTGATGCCATCTAAACAAGGTTACCTACCTGTGAAACTCATGTATTTCTGGCTGTTTGATGTCTTTTTGGAGTTGTAGAATTCGAGAACGTCTAGGACGGCTTGAGGATTCTTCTTTTGCTCCAGTTTGGTGATGTTGGACGTCTGGAGCAAGCGGGCCCATTGTTCTGGCATGCCCTGGAAATAATAATTATTCAGAAAGAACGATTATCATTGTCTCTGCTGCTATCCCATTTAACGTGCTACTTGAACCCACACAGTTAACTGCACACCAGAACAACTAGACACAAAGACAGTTTTGCGATGACCCAGGGCGTGGCACAAAAGCAACAAAGTCACAGCAGTAGGTAAAGTCCCTTTAATACCTCCAACTTGGCCTCCAATGTCCCGTTATCATCGGCTGGAGAAAAAACCTTCCCAAGAACAGTTTTTAAAGGGAAGGAATTTAGTCCGAACTCAAAGTACATATAAATTATAAATAAAAACCAACACAAACCACAAGCTGCAGCAATTAACGAGACAGGGCAGGATAGAAAATTGCAGACTTCAAAAGATAATGAAACACATAGTTGGGAGGATGCCAAAACCCAGATAGGACTTGACAAACAAAGATAATGCACGCTTTGCTTCCAGCAAGGTTCTGTGCGCAAACACTCTCTTTATCCTGTTTTCCAAGCTGCAGCTAACGAAGGGAATCAGGGCCTTTTTCTCCCCCGTAAGCCACGTTGCTCCCTTCTCCATTCCTCCCTGTATGCCCTAGGATGAAGAGGGGATGGGCCTGGGTCTTGCTCTGAATGCCCAGCCGGCCTGTGCCCTTCCCCAGTTTCCTCCACAACCACCGGAGCCACACTCCCACTCCCTGTCAGCTGTTCGACTCCCCCTCCAAATCAGATTCGAACAGGGACTTGACAAGTTTCCCCCCACCCACCCAAAGGCCATCACTCTGCTAAACAACTAACTCCCACAACACTGTCAAAATTACTTAGCAAGTCTGTGTTACTATTCTTCTTCTCATCCTTCCTGTTACCTATCTCTTCCCACTTATGACTCTAACGCGTTGCTCGTATCTTTACAATTTATATTGTTTTATTTGTTTTCCTAGTATGCTTTGATTGCATATTAGTAACCTATGTATTTGATTGCTTATAGAAGTGATGGCTAACCTTTTCCATGTCACATGCCGAAAGTACATGCACGTGCATGCACCCATGATGGAATGCACACGCGACACCCCCCCGTGCATGCCCATGCAACCCCCTGCACGCCTCTGTGCATGCGCATGTCTCTCCCCGCACGCCACGCGCCTCTGCGCATACATGCGCATCTCCCCCGCGCATCCACAGCAGATACCCAACATTTAGCTGGCTGGTGGGGGGAGCGCACTCATGCGCAGTGCGGCTCTTCTGGAGCGACCTCTTGCATGCCGGCAGAAATGGCTCTGTGTGCCATTTCCAGCATGCGTGCCATAGGTTTGCTATCACGGGCTTATAGTAACCTAGGACTATCACTAAGTGTTGTATCTTATGATTCTTGATGAATGTATTTTATTTTTTTCTTATGTTCACTGAGAGGTTATGCACCAAAGACAAATTCCTTGGGTGTTCAATCACACTTGGCCAATAAAGAATTCTACTCTGTTCTGTTCTATTCTATTCTGTATTCTTTTCTATTCTATTCTATTCTATTCTATTCTATATTCCATTCCATTCCATTCCATTCTATTCTATTCCATTCCATTCCATTTTAATTCTATTCTATTCTATTCTAATTCCATTCCATGCCATTCTAATTCTATTCTATATTCTATTCTGTTCTTATTCCCAATTCTATTCTATTCTATTCTATTCTATTCTATTCTATTCTATTCTTTCTTTTCTGTCTATATTCTATTCTCTATCTATTTTCTATTCTATTTCTTTTTCTATTTCTATTCTATTCTCTGCAGCCAAAGGCTCTTCTTGGAAGAGTTTTTCTCCAGCCCAGAAGGTAACCAGGAAATTGGGGGCAAAGTTTGGAGCTAATAAAGGGATTCCTACTTATTATCTGGCTGTGTTGCCTTTGTGCCACGCCCTGGGCCCGCACAGTAGCTTTGAACATTTCCTAAATGAATGGTTATAAGTTGAGGACTACCTGTATATGATCGTTGAAAATTGTAAAAAGAAAAAAGAAAACTTCAGTGAATTTTTTCTTTTAACTGGTGAAGACAATCAGCCAAGGAAGAAATGATGTCGTAGGACCCACGGAGTTTACACAGCTGTTGTGATTTGTACCGCAAGGTTATTGCACAACCAACAGCATCACGGACTACACTAGAAGTAAAGCCTGCCATCTGTCAGAATTCCGGCAGTTACTCCAATTAAATCATGAGCCTCAAGCCACACTCCCAAAACTTCTTTTCTTGTATTAGAAGTTAACATGCCGGCATTTGCCTGGGCCTAGCTGACTCTGAGATACATAATTCACTGTCACCCTTGATCCTATTTTACCCACCCCACCGCTCTGGGTGTATCATCCAACGAAAAAAAACCCCATCCATAACAATCAATCATCAATCATGCTCTCAATCATGCTCTCCAATTAGATTTTTTTTACAGATGAAGCTTCAGTCATCTAATCAGTCTTTGAAGAAAATATGAATGGAATGTACTTTCGATTCCACACTGCCGCCTTCTCTTTGAAAGTCCGCCCACCTTTCTTTCTGTTGACAACTATAAAACAATATGTTTTAGGAGTTGACACCATCCTTACTGTAAATTCGCCTGTCACTGCGTCAAATCCAACGTGGATCGTGTGTTCAAAATCTGACGGGAGGGAGATCTCCGGACGTTCTTTCTCCTTTTTCTTGTTGGCTGTCGTGGAAAAAAAGAAACCTAATTAAGCAAAATAAAATTAATCAGGAGAATTATTACTTCCGTAATTCAGTCAAAAGACGGACAGATATGTAGATGCAAGCATTTCCTATTGATCCATCAGTACCTACCTTACAAGAACACAGTTAAAATCAGCCTCAAATGTGAGATTTAGCAAGAGCATTAATTAATTAAACCTATAGGCTTAATTATTTAATGCTCTTGCTAGATCTTATATAGGCTTAATTAATTAATGCTAGATCTTATAAAGTCTTAATGCTCTTGTTAGATCTTATATAGCCTTAATTAACTAATACTTTTGCTAGATTTTGTATAGCCTTAAGTAATTAATGCTCTTGCTAGATCTTATATTTGAGGCTGATTTTAACCGTGTTATTGTAATGTAGGTACTGATGAGTCAATATGAAACGTTTGCATCTGTTTGCTTTTTGACTGTATTGCTTAAATTATTAAAATGGACGAACCGTTTTAAATTTTTTATAATTATTGTATTTCTTTGCCACCTCATGGCCAGCAATGTACATTTTTGCCAGAAACTGGAGTTTACTTCCAATTTCCAGAAAAATAACCCACCCCAATAGCCAACAAAGGATTCACTTCGCGGATCTGCTACATTCACTTAACTGCCGCTAAAATGACCATAAAATTGGGCACAGATGCCCCTCTTAGTAACTTTCACTACAGGTAGTCCTTGACTTATAACAGTTCATTTATTGACGGTTACAACGGCACTGAAAAAAGTGACTTAGGACCATTTTTCACACTTATGACCATTGCAGCATCCTCACAATCATGTGATTTATATTCAGATACTTGACAACTGACTCACATTTACGACGATTGCACCCTTTTGCGAACTTCTGGCAAGCATAGTCAATAGGGAAGTCAGATTCACTTAATGATCGCGTCAGTAACTTAACAACTACAGTGATTCACTCAACAACTGTGACAAGAAAAGATGTAAAATGGAGCAAAACTCACTTAACAAATTTATGACTTAGCAACATACATTCTGGGCTCAATTGTCTCAAGTCATAGGTCATAATTCATTGGTCATAAGTCAAGGACTACCTGTGTACTTAATAAACCACCACCAAACCAGCCACATTATGGTCAGTTTCAAAATAATACCAAGCCACGATTTCCTTAGCCATAGATGGCTAAACAAACACCCACTGAGAATGTAGAACACATTAAGCCATCAATGGTGGTTTACAGTCCACATCAGAGCTGGGTTCACACAACACCCCCCCAGCAACAAAGCAACCAGCATTTTGGCTTAAGTTACTCATTTAATTAAGCAAGATACTGAATCAGAGACTAACCACAGACCAGTGAAAAATGCTAAGCCAGGGACAAACAAACCCCATTTAGCATGCTAGGCTGCTGTAGATATTAGGTCTTTAACTAATTCAATTCAGCATGTTGTGAGAATCTAAGCAAGCCACTTCTTTTTATAAATTGTTTTTAGAGAACTTACCAGGACTTTCTAACTGAGCTCCCATTTCCCATCTCCCATCTCTTTTTTCTCTGTGCAAATTCCACGAAGGAAACACAAAATTTGCTTTTATTCACTCAAAGTCTCTCCTTGATCTCTGATTGGTTGATTTGGGAGTGGCAAAAAAATTCCAGGATCTACTAAAACTTCTTGGGTTGATTCCTACCGGATTAATGCAAGCCAAATGTCTGTGGCTAAGCAAGACCATTGTTAAATGAGTTCGCCCCATTTTGAAACCTTTAGTGTCATGCTGGCTGGGAAATTCTGGGAGTTAAAGTCCACACACATATATACACCTTAAAACTTATCAAGACTGAGAAAAACCCAGCTAAAGTTTTACTTAAATTTAGCCATGCTGGCAGAAACTTTTGTAATCTGCATCATTAACAGGCCACCAATTTAAAGAAAATCTCCCCTAGAAGGTATTTTCTGCCTTTTATAGTAAGCCATTTAAAAAGTCAGGATGAAGAATTAAATTAATTAGCTTGCAAATCTCTTAAGTAAGCAGACATTTAAATTCCTGGTTTAAGGAAGCTTATTTTAAAAAAAAGTGAAAAAGCAAGCAATGGGGTTAACTTTGAATAAGGGCTGAGCCTGGACATATTAGAATAAATAATGATATTTAGAATAAAATAATGATTCTCAACCCTCTTCATGCTGTCCAAAGCAACCTGTTTTGCAGGAAGATTTGCCAGTTTAAAAGAATTAATGATTTCATGGCCTGCTGAACTACAGATATTACCGTATACATTCATGGATAAGCCCATCCGCAGATAAGCAGACCTTGGAAATTTTCATATGGCTTAATCTTTACAATTGGATTACCCCTAAGTAATCCACAGATTATCCATTTTTCAGGGTATTTTGCTTAAAAATTTCGAGACTCAGCTTATCTGTGGATGGGCTTAGGGCAAATACAGCTAATAATCCTTGACTTACGACCACAATGTTAGCCCAAAGTTTTCGTTTCTAACTGAAACATTTGTTAAGTCAGTTTCGGCTCATTTTACAACCTTTTTTTGCCACTGTTGTTAAGCGAATCACTGCAATGGTTAACTCCGTAACACAGTTGTAATTCAAGGACTACCCATCCTTCAAAAAGATTTCTGAAGTCAGGAAAGATTGCTGAAATTTCAGTACTAGTCGAAGAACCTGTGTGATCTCAGGGGAAAGACGACTGAGGTGTATCAAAACTGTGACAGTTTCACAATACTTTTAGCTCTTTTAAAAATTACATTTTTTTAGGGATCTAAAAACTGAAACCGATACGAAGGAAATGTGATGCTACTAGCCAGCAGAGAAGTTCCTCCAATTTAAGACAGAAATAATTTTGTTCAGGTTTTTTTTTTTTGAAAAAAAAAAATCTCAAGACAGAATATACTTTCAATTTTATGCCAGAACTGTTATTATCTCACTGAATTCTGAAGGTCTGGTACAACCACGACTGCTTTGGTTCCCTTTCGCTGCCTTTTATCTTTTATGCCTTCAATTTGCTACAGGTACTTAAAAGAGTTCATTTAACCTGTTTCCCTGAAAATACGACCTACCCTGAAAGTAAATCCTAGCTTGAGTTTTACACGTATGCCCAAAATAAGCCCTACCCCCAAAATAAGCCTTAATTAAGATCCCGCCCACTCCAGAGTACACAGGTAAAAATTAAACTAGGGTGGGGATGGGGGTTTAGGGTTAGGGTTAATTAACCTTTTTTGGAAGGTTAATTAATCAATGATGATCATGCAATGTGTTTGGGGTTTTGTGTGAGTGTATGTGTGTTTACACACCTACCCTGTTTCCCTGAAAATACGACCTACCCTGAAAGTAAGTCCTAGCTTGATTTTTTTTACATGTGTGCCCAATATAAGCCCTACCCCCCAAATAAACCCTAATTAAAATCCCACCCACTCCAGAGTGGACAGGTAAAAATTAAGCTACGGTGGGGATGCGGGAGTGGAGCTGCCCTACTACTTACCTTTGGACAGGTGTAGTCAGGCCTCGCACCCCCCGACACCTGCCTCACCGGCCCATTTCTTCTGCAGCCAGCAAGGCTGGCCAGGCTTTCCTGAAGGCCTCTGGAGCTGAGAACAAAGCTCAGGATCGATCCATAGCTCTCTTATCTGCTGCAGAGGCCTTCAGGAAAGCCTTGCTGGCCACAGAAGAAGTTCTTGAAGGCCTCTGACAGCGAAAAGGAGGCCGGGAGCAACACGCGCAAGTGAAGTTAGTCAATGGAGGACATCCCCCGAAAATAAGACCTGGTGCCTTTTTTGGTGGCAAAAAAAATAAATAAGACAGGGTCTTATTTTCGGCGATCCCCTTTTTCCAATAAGCAAAGTCAACAGGGAAGCCAGATTCACTTAACAACGGTGTGACTTAACACCTGCAGTTATTCACTTAATAACTGTGGCAAAGAAGGTGGTAAAAGGAGGCAAATTTCACTGAGCAGATGTTTCACTTAGCAACATAAATTTCAGGGTCAGTTGTGGTCATAAGTAGAGGACTACCTGTACTGCACTGGGAATATGTTGGGTTTACGAGGGGAAATAGGATTTAAGCAAATCCTAATATAAAACGGATTAAATTTTTCTGAAACGTGGTGTAACTTGTTAAACTCAGGTTTGGAACCCAACGTTCTGGTCCACAAAGTTTTTCAAAGCTATTCATCACTTTTTTCGACTCAGTCGCGATTTCAAAGGGTTCTTAAGTGTCCAGATATATTTCAAGGATTACCTGTATATAGGAAGTCTTTTGACTTATGAGTATAATTGAACCCAAAAATGTATGTTGCTGAGTGAGACAGTTGTTAAGTGAGTTTTGCCCCATCTTACAAACTTCCTAGCTACAGCTGTTGTGAAGCAATTGTTAAGTGACTAACACAGCTGTTAAGCAAAGCTAGTTTTCTGATTGACTTTGCTCGTCAGAAAGTCACAAAAGAGGATCATATGACCCTTGGACACGGCAACCGTCATAAGTATGAGCCAGTTGCCCAGCGTCTGAATTTTGATCATGTGAGTGACCATGGAGATGCTACTGTTTTGACCTAGGCTTTCCAAGATCACGAAGCTGACGCCACATCCCGATGAAACCCCTTTTATTTAGGTTAAAGGGAATTCCTCTCCAGCAAAGTCCCGGCCAACAGTCTTTCAAGAGATTGCACAACTACAGATGTTGATCAGGCTGTGAGAGTTGCCAGGCCGATATCCTCCAAACGCCACGGTGTAGCAGCAATTACTTGGCAAGAAGTCAGGAACAGATCTTCACACTAATTAAACGAACTAATTGTCTCCTACAAACACCACTCCCCTTTTGCTCCTCTTTATTCCCTATTGGAGGGGCCATTCACCATCCACCTGTGCCCTTACTCCTGAGTCGACCCTTGTTCCCTAACTATTCCCTTCTCCTAGCAGCTCTGCGCATGCACACATCGGGAACAGGCTCCAGCTGCTCTTCTGCCCCACTGATCTCCGACTCCGAAGGCAGCTGATAACTGTCAGATGGCCCTGGCCCCATCTTTGCCTCCGATGCACAGCACTCGTCAGAGCCTTCCCCAGACTCCGGGACTGGCCCATGTTCCTTCCCAACCTCCTCACTGTCCGAGTCTGGCGGGCCACAACAGCTACATGGTCCTAAGTGTGAAAAACAGTGATTTTTTTCCCCAATGTTTCTGGAACTTTGAATGGTCACTAAACAAATTGCTGTAAGTCAAGAACTACTTGCATTAATGTTAAATGATCTGGGTTGCAAAGATTCAGAGAACCACTAGATGGCAACACTGAGAGACAGAATCAGATAACAGTCTCCTGCCACTACCAACTGTCTTAATGTTTGCAGTTGCCTTTATTGGTATGCAGAACACATAATAAATTGCTGAAAATAATGAGGTGCACACCCCATCTCACGAGAGGAAGTCAGACGGACAGACCTGCCTTAAAAGGGGCATCGCTGCAGGCAGCCATCCAGTTGGCAAAGCATTTCGCAGCACCAGCCGAAAACAAAAACAATTAAACCCCCACCGATTCCTGAGGAGTCTAATGCAATAAGTTAGTTCCTTTTTCAAGTTGCACAATCAAAAACAGAAGTAATTCTGGTGCTGCAGATGAATGGCAAAAAAAAAGAGGAAGAGAATTCTGCCTCGGTGCAAACCGAGAACGGAGGATGGTATTAAAAGAAAAACTACAACTACCCAGAGGACAGAATAGATTTTTAAAAAACCACCCTTTTTTAAAAAAAAACACTTCTGACTGGTCTGAGCTTGGTTTCCCCTTTCTTCTAAATCTAAACCAATCTATATCCTTACTGTTTCTTTATTTTTATTTTTTAAAAGGTGGGAGGAACCCTGCATGTAGAAAAGTAACACAGTAGTTTAAATCATCCTAAATAGGAATTCAGGAACCCGCTTCTGACAGCACGATCTATTCATCCAAATATCTTTTCAGCCATTCAGTGATTTGTTTATTTTTTTTCTTATTATGGTAGATTTAGTTAGTCGGATATAGATATTTACATTTTTTATTTTTATATACTCTGTGTGTGTGTGTGTGTTTACATATCCAGTTTTTATGTGTTTTTTAGATTTGTCTATGGATTTGTCTGTCTGTCCATCTATCTATCTACCTATCTCTATCATTTATCTCTGTCTGTCTGTCTATATATCATCTCTATCTTTTATCTCTATATCTATCGATTATCTTTCTCTCTCTCTATCACTCTCTCTATCATTTTATTGTAAGTATGTATGTATGATTTTTAACCACGTATTTCTTTCATCTTTTAAAATTACTGTTTGCATTCTATCCTTCCTCTGTTGGTCTATCATCATATTATTTATTTATCATATTTAAGAAGCGTCCATCTCCCTCACAGAGGGACTCTGGATGGTGTACAAAAATATTAAAAAGTATTAAAATAATAGGTAACATTTAAAAGAAGCAAGAATTGTTAGAATTAATTAATTAATAGGTGGAGAGAAAGCTTAAAGGCACCAACCCTGAATAACATAATGAGATAATAACCTCCATCAAGATTTGATTGATTGGAATTTTGAAAGTCCCAGTGGACTCTACCATCAAATAATGATTATTTTTGCCAATGGAGGGTGGAAAGTCCGTACAATTTCAGCCTTCAAAGTGGTACCGTCATTTACAACCTCTATCAAAGGTCATCCTTAAAAGGCGTAACCCGGTGTTTCTCAATTCTCTGCCCCTTTAAGACCTGTGGACTTCAACTCCCAGAATTCCCCAGCCAGCCATGCTGGCTGGGGGATTCTGGGAGTTGAAGTCCACAAGTCTTAAAGGGGCAGAGAGTTGAGAAACACCGATTTAACTCAAAACAGAAACAAAATGGCTTTCTCTGTTAAAAAAAAAAAGGAAAGAATGACAGAAATCACGATACCTTTGTCTCCTGGCAGGATGGAGCGATAGAAGCGGTCTCTCCTTTTCTTTTCTTCGGGGTTAGGAGGCAGGGGTTTCGAGCCATGGTTGAGAGTCCCTATATCTTTGCTGCTGGAGCAGATCATGGTGCTCGTATTTCTCATGGGAGGGGCTGGCGGCTTGTCTTCTGGGTTGGGCCCACTGTTGGACATCTTCAGCAGTAGCAGCTACACCTGGGACCGAGATAGAAAGGATGTAAAATGAGGACCAAGCCAAGCAAACGTCATGCTTCCAAATGGCTGAGAAGTTTGGAAGAAAATGAGGGTGAATGGGCCGACTCCTCATGCAGGTGAAATCCCTTTTATTTAGGTTAAAGGGAATTCCTCTCCAGCAAAGACCTGGCCAACAGTCTTTCAAGAGATTGCACAACTACAGACCTTTATCAGGCTTGCAGAGTTGCTAGGCTGATATCCTTCAAATGCCACGCTGTAGCAGTAATTACTTGGCAAGAAGTCAGGAACAAATCTTCACACTAATTAAACGAACTAATTGTCTCCTGCAAACACCACTCCCCTTTCACTCCTATTTATTCCCTATTGGAGGGGCCATTCACTGTCCACCTGTGCCTTTACTTCTGAGTCGACCTTTGTTCCTTAGCTGTTCCCTTCTCCTGGCAGCTCTGTGCGTGCGCAGTCTGGGAACAGGCTCCAGCTGTTCTTCCGCCCCACTGATCTGCGACTCTGAAGGCAGCTGATAACTGTCGGACGGCCCTGGCCCCATCTCTGCCTCCGATTCAGAGCCCTCATCCGAGCCTTCCCCAGACTCCAGGATTGACCCATGTTCCTCCCCAACCTCCTCACTGTCCGAGTCCAATGCCAACTCTGCTGTCAGGCCACAACATAGGATTTTTAAATAGTTGAATGTGACTAACAGGTATTTCTCATTTTAACTTCGGGCGCTTGGCAACTGACTCAAAACTTACGACGGTTGCACTGTCCCGAAGTCACATGATCCCCTTTTGTGACCTTCTGATAAACAAAAAAAGTCAGCAGGGAAGATTCACTTAACAACGGTGGCAAGAAAAGTCGTAAAATGAGGCAGGTCCCCCAGGCAGTTGCAGGACTTGAACTCATGTTCTCCTGTTTTCTCCCCTGACGACTTCAACTTCAGGGGTTTCCCAACTTGGCAATTCATAAGACTTGTGGACTTCAACTCCCAGAATTCCTCAGCCGGCCTTGCTGGAAGTTGAAAGACCACAAGTTTTAAACTGGCCACGTTTGGGCCTCCCTGCCTTAAACAATGATATGTAGTCCTCGATTTAAGACCATAACTGAGCCCAGAATTACAGCTGTACGTTGAGCTGGTCATTAAGCGGGTCACCATATGATCGTGCCCAATTTCACATATATATATTTTTGCAACCCTTGATGTGAACCCAGTTTCTGAGCGGCGTGGTGGGTTAGAAGTGAAGATGTTCATTTCCCGCTCTAGAGGTTGAGAGTTTGATCCTAAGTAGCGGCAAATTTTTCTCTCTCAGGACACAAAGAAAAAAATACAGGTAGTCCTCAGCTTACGACCACAGCTGGTTGCAAAATTTATGTTAAGTGAGTTCTGCCCCATTTTACGACTTTTCTAGGAATCACTGCAGTTGTTAAATTAGTATCCCAGTTGTTAAGCGAATCTGGTTTCCCCATTCACTTTGCTTGTCAGAAGGTAGAAAAAATGGGATCTCACAACCCTGGGACACTGCAACCATCATAAAAATGATTCAGTTGTTAAGCGTCCAAATCATGTGACCATGGGGATGCTGCAAAAGTTGTAAGTGTGCAAGATGGGCATAAGTCACTTTTGACAGCGATGTTGTCACTTTGAACGATCACTAAATGAAGTGTTGTCAGTCGAGGATTATCTGTATTTGCTGCGAACTCCAGATAGGTGACAGGAAAGGCATCCGGCCAGCAAATGCTCAGCTCTATTCAGTCTCCCCGACTCTACCCCAAGTTAAGGGATTTTATAAAAAGAAAAAAAAAGTGAATCCATTGTCTGCATTGGCTGTTTTTTTTTTGGTAGAAAGTATTCCCCATTTTCTGGCAAAATAATTCCCAAATTAAAGGCACGTGATCGCAGGTAGCTGAACGACCATAAAGGCGGGTTGACATCCATCAAAAGAACAATTAATCAGTAGAACAACTTGCTATCAGAAGTTGCGGGTACTCCAACACTGGAGATTTTTAATAATAAACTGAACATCCTAACTGTTGGAAATGCAAACAAGCGCAAGGTACCTTTTTCCATGTCTGGTGGCTATGCCCCAAAATGAAAAAATACTGGATCAAAATACAATTGATACCACTGTCGAATAGCGTTGAACCCTGAATTGTTTCTCCTGGGGATCATTATGGGTAAATACCCTCAAAAGATTAAATGTTTGATTATACATATTATTACGGCAGCAAGAATTGCACTAGAACGAGCTTGGAAATTGTCTACCACACCGTCAGATTGTTTAATAATCCGAAAAATCTTAGAATGCGCAGAAATGGACAGACTCACCATAGAACTGAATAACAAGGAAGACCCGGAATATTATGCAACTTGGAACAATTGGTATCAACCGATAGACAGTATAAATAGGAATGGTATAGTTTAAAAATAAGCTAAACAATTTTTTGTTGTTGTATATGTACATGATTAATGAGAACCTGTTGAAATGGATGAATATTTGTAATGTATGAATATAGCCAAGATTTCTTTGTACTGTCAGAGAACGATGGTGAACTGTATAAACACATTTCTTCTTTTTACAGAAATATATTTGTATTTTAATATTTTAATTTCAATAAAGGCTTTATTTTAAATTTAAAAAAAAGAATAAACTGAAGAACCATTTGTCCGAAATGGTAGACGGTCTGCTGCTAGTCCCTTCCAACTCTGTCGTTCTTAAAGTGGTTAAGGTTGTTTAATCCTGGCTTAGGGCCTCACTACGTCTAAATCCAGCTCTGAATGCAAATATTAATGGTGGCATTGGCGCAACGCCATCCTTGAACCCACGCCAACATTTTGCATGGTTGGCTGGCTGACGAAACCGCAGGATTTCCGATAAACATTGCTGTCTCGGTCTACCTGCCCTGGTTTTTTAACCCTTCTGAGTCGAGATCCAACCAATAATAAGATCCAGAACCCCGTTTCATATCTGACTGCTCTTGTGCGGCTGCATTTCCTGCCAAGAGTTTCCATGCCTCGGTTTCTCTTTGATTGTCCAAGCTGGAAAAGTGGATGTGCGTTTAGTACCTTCTCCCTAATAGAGACTGTTTGTGGGCTCATGTGGCAGCCATGCCTTCTCAGGACAGAGTTTTAAATTAAGGAAATGCGCACAGCATGCCAATTTCCTTCCCCTTCCTTGCTTTAATTTACTCTCACTCCCTTTCCTTTCCTTTTTTCCTTTCCTTCCTTCAATTTACTCTCACTCCCTTTCCTTTCCTCCTTCCTTCTTCCCCTTCCTTCCTCTTTCCTTTCCTTTTTTCCTTTCCTTCCTTCCTTTAATTTACTCACTCCCTTATCTTTCCTCCTTCCTCCCCTCCCTCCCTCTTTCCTT